ATCAATCTATATATATATATATATATATATAACTAGCAAGTTTGTCTGTTTAATGGTCATAATATGATGTTAAAGAAACATCTCACTGTATGGTGTACAGTAACATCTCACCTGCAACTTCAACATGGTAGACTAGAATGCTAAGATTACTCTAGCAATAACATACCTTATTGTAAGTTACAGCTTACATGCTCATCGTATCTAACCACAATGTTAGACACGCATCCTTATGATGGAGCATATAAGGATTAGGGTAAAATTTTGTCCCAACAAATTAAATTAAGGGGTCATTTCAGCTTGAAATGGAGGGTTGTAAGGAACAGGTTCTTCACAATCTTCCTTTACACCCAGTGTGGAATGAAGGACCTTGTCTAAACTATCAGTGAGTGGGCCAAAGGCAAATATTCCATCACTTCAGCTCGAAAAGGAGGGTTGTAAGGAACTGGCTCTTCACACTCTTCCCTTATGCCCAGTGTGGAACGAAACACCATGCCTAAACTCTTAGGTCTGTTGAGCAGCATGCGGTTATTTGCGCGTTTATGCACGTTGTGCACAGCTTGATGCGCTTTTTTATGCGTGTACATGAAGACGTGCATTTTGACTGGCAGTTCATGAAACATTGGGGGCGTTTAAATGCGCAAAAATGCTTACGAAAATCTGCAACATGCTTCTGCCGCGCGTCTTTGGGAATTTCCATTTAAGTATATAGGGCAAAAACGCACTTTTATCTGCTCAAAGTAGCTCATGTACCTTTTCGGGCGTTTGGCTTTTTCCTGCTGTCGTTTTTTTTTGCTCAGGTGTGAACCAGCGCCATTGAAAATCATGGGATTTCTTGTGTTGGTGCTTTTCCAACTGCTCAAAAACTCCTAGGTGTGAACCAGGTCTTAGTGGATGAGCCAAAGGCAATTATTGCATCACTTCCCTGTCCAACTCTCTCTTCCTACTCTTATCAAAAATAAGGATGCCATTTTTGGAGGATTCAGGTTTTCATACTCCACATGATTACAAATACATCTTCATGTTACAAAGGTCCCCCACCTCTTTTGCTAAATCTTCTTCTGTATAGTGGCCATGGGCAGCTTAAGCCACAAAATATCACTATTTTGGCCAAATGCATTGGAGTTAATGGGGAAGGAGAAGTTATAGTATTTTTTGGGGAGGTTTTAAAGGCTACAATGGAGTTTGAATGCCCCTGAAGGTGATGAATAACAGGTCCAGGATAGATGAAAAGGAGCTTTCATCTATCCTGGACCTATTATTGTTCCAGAAAACAGGCCCTCGTTAGCCTCATTAATTTATATTGTACAAAGTAGAAAAAAGCTGACAAAAAAAGTAAAGTTTGTGTAAGTTAGTACACAAATAATGATCAAACACACAAAATAATTAAAAAAAAAATACAAGGAACACAAGATGAAATAGATGTAACTACTGGTTAAGTGCTTGTATGATCTCAATACAATATGGTGCAAATCAGAATTTAATTTAAACTATTTGTGTTTTCATGCTTTAGCCTACATCTTGTACCCCACAATTGTGTATGGGCTCTATCATGACCCCACCTCAGTATGTCCGTAAGCCAGATGAAATTCGCACTAAAGAGCAGCTTCTTCCACTTTCCAAGGAATTTATTGACCAATATTATACTTCAATTAAAAGGTAAATTTGTTTTTGTTTTTTCTTTTGTTTTTTTTGGAGGTGGGGGGGGAGAAAGCGAAACTATGAAAAATAAACTAGAAGCATTAACTTAAATGTGTATTGACAATAACAGAATCATCTGTTTTACACTTTATATAAGTGATCGTGTCTGAAGTGTCATCAAGGCTCTTTTATCCCAATTTTACATCCACATTTCTATTTATATGTGCTGGTTACATTTATAGGTGCTGAGGTTACATGTAAGTTTGATCTGTATAACTGCAAAACAAAATGTGCCCATGCTTTCATTGAACCATGCTATGTCACCAAATGTCTATTTAGTTTTCTTTTGCTTGGCGGCAGCAAAAAAATATTTGCCAAGTTTTTGCCGGGTTTCCCCCTCCTCTCCCCTGTTTTGTTTTTTTAAAGAATCTGTCAGGATAGGTGCAGGCTTCAGGACTGTCAATTCTGCACCTGAGTATGAAGTAAATAAAATTTAAAGTCTACATCTTTAGATGTAGTGATTGCATTCCGTTTTTTTTCAGGGTATTTTTTTTTTCAGCTGGTAGTCCTGCCAATTACACACTACCTGTACCAGGGACGTGCAGTCAGGGAAGGCAGGTGAGGCAGAGCCTCACCTAGTATTATGGAGGAAAAAGCTGTCAGCTTCAAGCCTGAAGCTGACAGCTTTTTCTCCATTCAGATCGGCTTCTATCAGGTTACACAGCAGGGAAATCCTCCCCGCTATGTAACCTGTCATGGTGCATCCGGCTTTTTACAGGTAGTTAGGTTACACAGCAGCGGGCTTCCCCACTGCTTGTGTAACCTAACTATTGAGGTAAGAGCTTTCACAGCCTCTACACTTTGTTAGAGGCATGCACCGTGTGGATGGCCTGGACCAATGGCAAAGCACCATTGGTCCAAGCTGTCCAATCAAAAAAAGAAAAAAACCCACTGAGGGCATCAATCTCGATGCCTCAGCAGTGAGGAGCAAATGAGGGAAAGGGAGGATCCTCCCTGTCTCCTCCCTTCCTCCTTCACACTAGCTTGGGGACCGGGTTGGGGGCGGGGGCTTCAGACGACGGGGTGGGGCTTTGGTGGGGGGGGGTTTGGCCGCCAGGGTCGTGCTGGGGGCGAGGCTGCACTGTATCTATGGAGAAGCAGCCTTGTCACACTATGCTGCCCACTCCTGATTTGGACTATGTTACACTATAGTTGACCTCCCCCTCTCATCTTTATAACATAGGGAGCAGATGTCCTGTAGTTTACAGAGAATACTGGGCAGGTATGATAACATTACGTGAGATTTTAGAGTTTGGAAGATTGTCAGCATGATACAGGAAGTAAGGAGCACACTGCATTTCTGAAAGGAGCAACAGGTATTTTTTTGCACTTATCAAATAGATATAACAAAAAAACATTTTTTAATGGTATATTTAATAGAGCAAATAAGAGAAGTTAAACCTTAATATAAATGATGTTAATAAATGTAATTATACAGAAATATCTAAAATGTATTTTAGATTTGGCTCAAAGGCTCACTTGGACAGACTAGAAGAAGTAAGAAGGGAGATTGAAAACAACGACACCTACCAGCTACGAGACACTGAGCTCATATATGGAGCGAAACATGCATGGCGTAATGCAGCCCGCTGTGTGGGAAGAATTCAGTGGTCTAAACTGCAGGTGAGACTGATCACTCTGTGTGCATTGCAACTTCTATACAGCAATTAGGGTAAAAGGGGTTGTGAAGTTTTTTTTTCTTTATTCAAAGTAAAAACAGCCCCTGTTTTGGGAAGTTTTTTCTTTATAAAATGTAAAAACATCACTTTACTCCTTAAAGCAGAATAATAATTATAATAAGAATAATAATAATTAGTTGTCCACATTTATTCAACCTCAAATACTATGTAACTATGTAACTATGTAACATCAGAGTGTCCTCTTGAATAGATTGTCCCCATCAGAGTGCCCCCTTAGTTTCGTAGGTAATGTATAGGGACCACCAATATAAGGGGGGCACCCTGATGGGGACAATTAATTATTAATTATAAGGGGACAAACAAGGTAAGTGCCCTTACCTTGTTTGTCCCCTTTAGACTACCCCTAAATATTATTGCCCCCACATACCTTATTTTCCTACTTTATTAGTAGGCCAGAGGCAGGAGCTGGGAGGTGGAGCAGGCTGCAGGAGTGGACGAACAAAGTTACTCTTTCATCCTCTTGTAATGCTGGAGGTGGGGAACACATCTGATGTCACTGATTGCTAGGACTGCCCGGCAGTCCTAGCAACCAATGACTGCCGTGGAGGTGGACACCTGATGTTGTTGGTTGCTAGGATGTCAGCAGTCCTGGAAACCAATGACTAAAGAGGAGGGGCCTACACTGGGCTATAGCTTGCAGTGGATGCACCGGCCTTGTAGGCCAGAGCATCCACCGTCAGCCAGCCATAACTAAGTGCAGGCTGGCAATGGGTCGGTGTCCAAACCGGGGGCATGGACAAGGACAGCCAAAGGGCCAGATGTGGCCCGCGGGAAGTAAAATGCCCAGGTCTTCTGTACAGCATACTTACAGATTAAGTCACACACTTACCTCCCACTGTGCTGTCCTCTAGCAATGACAAGCTCAAGATCCTGTCTCTGCTGTATTCCCTGCCGCTGCCATCTCTGCCACCAATTCATATGGGTTCTGCAGTATTCGTCTTCTGCAATTGGGTGGCCACTAATTATGTAACTCCTGTGCATGCTGATTAAATATTAAATAATATGATACAGAAGGGAATGCTGTACTTATTGAACATGTCAATAAACATGAGACAAAAAAGATATGTTCATTGTTAGAACTGGAGATGTTCGCATTTGTATTAGGGGTACACAGTTATTTTTTTTATTTTTTTTATTAACCCCCAGGTCTTTGATGCTCGAGACTGCACCACTGCCCATGGAATGTACAATTATATCTGCAACCACATCAAATATGCCACCAACAAAGGCAACCTCAGGCAAGAACATTCAATATTCACAGATGATGACCAAGCCTCACTATTTTATGTTAATGAAATATTTATATAGCATGAATTTAAGACACCATATGATACCGTTTCATATTCCATAATGATAGCTTATACCTTGTCTTTTCACAGATCAGCAATCACTATCTTCCCTCAAAGGACCGATGGAAAACATGATTTCAGGGTCTGGAATACTCAGCTCATTCGTTACGCAGGATACAAACAACCGGATGGCTCTGTGCTGGGTGACCCTGCTAATGTAGAACTGACTGAGGTAATGATATGTTTATCGTTGATTGTAAGGTTGTCAATGGAAACATTCAATTCTTAATGGACCACTAAACAAAGATTACTTTTCCTCGCTGGTGAATATGGTATAATTTATGGGTAATAACAGATATCAGGCATCAAAACCACACCCCATATCAATGCAAAGCAGGAAGACAGCTGATATTGTTGAATGCACTGCTTCCTCTCATTACTGCTCGCTACCATTGTTAGTCATAATGTACTGGGGGTGGCTTAGTTTAATGATGATATTATCACCATTATTCATCACAGACATAGGCAGTGCATCTTGTTAACTGCTAGTGATCCCTTCTAGTAATACATACAGTTGTCACATCACTTCATACAAACAAGCAAACTAGTTTTATTATGGAATACAGGTATGAACGCAATCGATTTCGGAACGTTCCTCCAACTTTCTAATCGCTGATGTGGTGAAAATGATAATCAGCAATGACCGCAGTGATGACAAAAATCGAATTAACATGTTGGAAATCTTTTTTCAATGGAACAAAATTCTAACAGTGATTTTTGTGTGAAAATCTACACGTGGATACCCTACTTAGGCGTCTATTAATGAAGGAGGTCAGAGTTAGTGAGCTAAACTGAATGTCATACATATAGAAGATTCATAGTTCCATTCTTGTCCTGTGTTTGTTTAGCCATTGTGAATACACGGGCGGCGGCAACCTCTTCCCAGCGGGTTTTTTTTCTGCTTGTGCTCGCCCCCTGCAGGGAATGTAAACAGCCGGTACCCACTGTTACATCCAGCATAGCATCTAATAGCAGTGAGAACGGAGGAGAGATCAGCATTCTTCCACTGCTGATCTCTCCTCCTCTCGATCTAAAGGTGGAAGCGATGTGTAGTGTATTATATCACTTCTGCCTTTAGCTGTCATTTCTCTGGCTGCTATAGATCTCTCCTTCATCAGCTTCTTCGGGGGTCTCAAGGTGACATTAGGGGTCTTAGAGACCCCTGATGTCTCCCTAAAGAGGACCAGTCATTGTATATTGGCTATGACATAGGGGTCGTGTTAGCCCCCTATGTGATAGAAATAAAGTTAAGTGTAAAAAAAAAAAGTTTAAAAATCAATTGAAAGTCTCATATTAAAAAAAAAAAACACCCCCAAAAAATGTAAGTCCCCCTCCTCACGTGTGCATGCACATATAAATGTAAATATGCGTCAGGTGCACCTACATGTGAAAACAACGAATAACGCCACAAATGTTACATATCCATAATTATTGTTTTTGGTTCTCCCCGTACATCATTATATATCTTCTACTACTTTGAGACCTAGATGCACATCCTGGGGACATTCTTTTGCTACTTTATTGCTGTGTCTTATTCTTGCTGGTTTGTGATGCTGCCTGCATATCTCCTAGCATACCTGCTTATCTAGTAACAGATCGTTGTTAGCAGTACCTCTTTAAGATGTGATGGCTGTTGATACCTCAGTATTTGCTTATGTATGTTCCACCTTATTTTCAATAAAAATTATAAATGCTTAAAATAACCCCAAATGTTACATATCGCCTTGAACGTGGGAGTGTGAGCAATACTTTAGGGCCTATAATAAAAAAATAAAAATAAAAAAAAAGTGTCGCCTATGGACAATTTTTGGCATGGTAGTTTTTTGGAATTTCGCTGACGCATGCAATTTTAAAGATTGACATGTTTGGTGTCTATTTACCTGACGTGACCCCGTCTTTTATGTTTTACCAAACAATTGTGTACTGATAAATGTTTTATAACATAGGGAAAACATTTTTTTTTCAAACTTTTCAGAACATTTTTCATTATATAGTAAAAAATAAAACCCCCAGTGGTGATTAAATACCACCAAAAGAAAGTTCTATCTGTCCCCAAAAAAATGGTATAAAATTTATTTCATTACAACGTTCTATGACAGAATAAATGTCAGTCAAAGTACTGCAGCGCTGAATACTGAAAAATGGCCTGGCCAGGAAGGGGGTTTAACACCTCGGTCAGCAAGTGGTTAAACAGCCTTGGGTACTTAAGAATTCTTCATTCAAAGATCTTGAAAAGAAGTTTAGCAACAAGTGCCAACTGTGTAGTGTGTCTTCTAACGCTATAACACTGGTGTAAGCCACCTACTACATCCACACATTTATTTGTCATATTTGTAACTTTTCAGGTTACAATGTCATAAATATTTCTCTGGCAGCAATACTTTTTAGTGTGTCAGTCAATCACGCTCTCAATCTCCCACACATGTTGTCACTTATAATAAAAATACATATATAAAGATAATTTAAAGGTGCCCTTAGTTTACAGTTGTTGACTAAAAAAAAAAAACTGTTCTGTTTTTGTTTTTTTGCCAAGTAAAGAAATCTATTTCATGTGCTATTAAGCAGAACTTTACAACACGTGCTAAACCAATCATTGAGCACCATATTTGCCAGTGGTCCAACATTGATGACCACCAAATGTGAATATTAAACCAGCTTTATTAAATTCATAAGTGATGTATAAAGAACAAATATAGGTGTCCAAGCTAATTCATAATCAAAACAACCAATTTATTTCCAAAATGAACCATTTCTCGTAATTAAAACAATTTTTTGTTGTGTAAAAACGAAATGAATAAAATCTATGTCCTTGTGCGATGCAGTAAATACGTAAAAGAAGTATACATTCAACTTACATAGTTAATTACCCTGTGAATACAAACTAATAAGCCAATGTGATTACATAAGGCATACACAAGGAGGCAACAGTGATAATTAGGTATAAAAACTAAATTTACTTTAACCTCAGAAAATCACCACCCACAGTGATATAATATTCCAGTTGATTGGGAAAATATGTTGGGTAGCTCCTACCAGTCATATCAGTTCAGGCCAGTCTACCACTGGCTTTTCTAGTCAGTACATTAAATATGTATGAACAAATGGTAGAAACAAGATCTCTATTTTTATCCTATTCATCATAATCAGCCTCCCTGTGTTATCTAAGATGTCATTACTAATAGACTGTTTCTCAGGGGAAACCTACAGACATTTACAAATGTTCAATTGTGTGTATGCTTACATGTTCTTTACGACAGTACACTAAATGATGGATGAGGACACAAAGATCCTAGCCAAGAATAAAAGAGAAAAATCCTACATAGTGGATGCCAGTGAATGAAATGACGCATCACATACACAAGGATAAGCAATGATATATTATACATATCCAAAAGAAGAAATAATTCAAATACAAACAAAATGAATGGAAAAAGTGGACTACCTATAAACATTTCATGGGATGATGGCACTTTAGTATGAGACAAGTATCTGTGATGCATATTGTGATGAAAGCACTTTATGGAATGACAATTTACAGGTGAAACTCGAATAATTAGAATATCGTGCAAAAGTAATGGCAGTAATTGCTGCAAAAGGGGCCCAAACCAAGTACTGAGTACATATGCATGCTTGTACTTTTCAGAGGTCTGATATTGTTCTATGTACAATCCTTGTTTTATTGATTGCATGTAATATTCAAATTTTCTGAGATTGTGGATTTGGGGTTCTTGGGGTTTTCATGAGCTGTAAGCCATAATCATCACAATTATGACAAATCACGGCTTGAACTATCTTGCTTTGCATGTAATGAGTCTATCTCATATATTAGTTTCACCTTTTAAGTTGCATTAGTGAAATAAATGAACTTTGCACGATATTCTAATTATTCCAGTTTCACCTGTATGAGTCTCGATTATTAAACATATACTATGACGGACTGAACCGTCACTGAGGCTGCTGGAGGAGCCTGAGGGCTAGCCTCCTTCCTACGGACTATGGACCCAGAACTATGGAGACCCCCCTCAGACCTCTTGGGGTTACATGGAACCATTCTCCTAGGATATGTGTGGAGTCGGTATACTGCATGTTTCCCCCGACATTACAGACACACACCACTGTGTTCAGTAAAGACAGGTTTGGGCTGACGACACTTGAATTCAGGTTCCAGCGGAGAGGAAGCTGATTTCTGACGGAGGTCCCCAGTCGGGGTACCAGGCAGTCCGTCACAATTGGTGGCAAGTGGTGGGATCTGCTTCCTCTATACGGGCAGTCAAAACCACCACCGGGACCCAGAGACAGCTAATATCGGAGGAGCATCCTGGGAGTTATTGGCCATGGAGGCGGAACTCCTGTGGCGAATGCAGCAGGTGTTGGAGCACCTTGATGAACCTCGTCCTGCACAGGTCGAATCGAGGAGGGAGAGAGAGGATGCCCAGCTATGCATCCCTAAACAGCTGTTCACCGATGTTGGAGCGGGGGCTGGCACAGCATCGGAGCCAGAGGTTCATGGGAGAGGCGGAGGAGAAGTTCAGTAGCCGGGTCAGGAGAAGGTTGGCAATCTACGGAGCCAACCCATCTGAGGTAGCAGTCTGGATAACCAATGCCGAGGTGGAGGAGCAGATCACCCGTTATCAGGACATGCAGACCGCGGTGATGCTGGGATGGGATACTACCTATATGGGACTTTGAGCGGCAAGTCGAAGTCGCCATTTCCGGGACAGTTCCCGGAGGAGTTGCGCCTGGAATGGAGAGCCCTGATCTGGCTGGAGATGTGGGAAGAGGCCCGGGACAATCACTATGGCTGCAGAGGTGAAGTCCTGTCTTCCCTAGAACAGCGCTTCGGGGAGCAGGTGAATCTGCGGATCAGCTTACTAGGTGGGCAACCCACAGAGGAAGGGATAGTAGAAACGGAGGATCTGGTGCAGAGAGAGATGGAGCTTGAAGACCAGTACAGAGTGCTATACTGGTTTGCCAACTGGTGGCAAGTGAAGGTGGGCATGCACTATTCCTCGGAAGGTGATGACCTTTGCGGCCCCGGCTTATCGTGGGAAGCGTTTGGGGAGAAGACTGACTTTGGCAGTCCCGAGGACTATCGCTTCTGGGACATCCAAGCCAAACGGCAGGAGAGGTTGCAGACTATGGAAGTCCATGCCTTGGAGCCCGACCTGGGCTGGCTGGTCCAACAAGAGTGGTGCCTAGAAATGGACTACTGGGAGCTGCTGGAAAGTGGCCTGCTATTTCCTTCTGAAGATGAAGACCCAGTGGAAGCCACATCCCCAGAGACACTGGGTTTAATGGGTTTTTCTTTGGAGCTTGTACAGCTTGCTGAGTCCCCAGGTGAGGTACTGGCAACAGGGGAAAGGGTTGCAAGCCTCTGCCCAGCACCTGGTACAGCCTCTCTCCCCAGCGGCAGAGTGAGTCCCAGGGAGAGAAGGTAGCTGACCTCTCTCCCCAGCAGCAGATGGAGCATCAGGGAGAAGGTACAGCTATCATTTCTTCCCAGCAGCTGGAAATGTTCCCAGGAGAGAGTGTACCCGACACTTCTCCCCAGTGGCATCCGGAGTTCCAGGGAGGGAAGGTCAGCGTCCTCGTTCCCCAGTGGCAGTGTGTTTACCCAGGAGATGATGTGGGCGGCATCACTCTCCTGCAGGAGAGTCAAGCGGACCAGTTGGAAGAGCGTTTGGATTTATCTTGCCCGACTAACACAGGTCCAGACCAGTTGGTGGTCTTGTACCTGGTTAGTCTACTGTTGGGAGGGGAGAAATGTGACGGACTGAACCGTCACTGGGCCTGCTGGAGGAGCCTGAGGGCTAGCCTCCTTCCTACGGGCTATGGACCCAGAACTATGGGGACCCCCTCAGACCTCTTGGGGTTACATGGAACCATTCTCCTAGGATATGTGTGGAGTGGGTATACTGTCTGTTTCCCCCGACATTACAGACACACACCACTGTGTTCAGTAAAGGCAGGTTTGGGCTGATGACACTGGAATTCAGGTTCCAGCGGAGAGGAAGCTGATTTCTGACGGAGGTCCCCAATCGGGGTACCAAGCGGTCAGTCACATATACCACCAACTTTTATGCAACCTTAGGCATATGGCAGAAGGTCTGTGCACGGAAATATATACAATTATTTATTATAAGCAATGTAGCACTTGCTATGAATATATAAAGATGACATTGTCTGGTGATTCTACTTGATGAAACAGCCACAATAAGCAGGAGATCTCAGAAGGAAACCATGTATGTATGGGGAGGAATAAATACAGTTGCTGAAAAGAGCGGAAGGTGATATGGGAGTTTTGGATTAACCTGGTGCTTGTTATCTTCAAATGTTTAGATATTTATGTTGGATGGCTGTGTGATCGGTTAGAATTACTGAGTTCAGCAGTCAGTGCTGGCGTATTGGAGCGGGGAGGGGGGAATCCAGCCCCTCCCCTGTCACGGCAGGGAGCTGTGACAGGATCGAGAGGTGAGTGAAAGCAGTAAGTGTTCGCTCACCTCCCGATCTACTGAGCCGACCTGTGACAGTCTCATTGTCACAGGTCGGCTAGAACTATGAGGTGAGTGAAAAGCACTCACCTCAAAGTTCTCCTTTAAGGAAGATGGAATACTATTCAATGTTAATAGACATTACAGGCTTACACGAATTAAACCTACATTTTGCTTTCCTGATGATGAATCATTCCTTGTCTTAAACATCTCTTGACAGATCTGTATTCAGCAAGGCTGGAAAGCTCCACGAGGACGTTTTGATATCCTTCCTCTTGTACTCCAGGCGGAAGGCAATGACCCTGAGCTTTTTGAGATCCCCCCAGAAATGATCATGGAAGTCCAGATACGGCACCCAAAGTAAGTCAGCGTCCTTAAATATATGTTTTGTTAGCACGGTGAATTCTTACTACACATTTCATGCTATATTTTATAGGTGGAAATCAACATAATAATAGGCGAATGTACACATTAGTATTACCTATAGTGACTTGGAGATCACAGAACTCTACAGAATCACAATAAGTGTTGTTTATTTAAAGTAGTTTTAAACTCTCAAACATTTTGTTAATAATGGATCCAGATCAAACAAATATATGTTTTTAGCCCAAACACTTGCAGTCATCATGTTTCCAAACAGCTCCAACTCTCTTAGCTCCACTTCCATGAATGTCCTGTCCAGTACAAGATTACAAGGGGCAGAGAAATCTCCAGCAGCCATCCATCTACTAGCTTGGAGTATAGAGGACAGAGGAGGAGTGGGGAGCAGGGAGCAATGGTGTGGCTTGCCTTGCCATGTCTGTATGTTTGTGGAGACCAACACAGCTTCCATATCACACACAAGGGTGGCTCTATAGGACCTGGGAAGAAAAAGCAGCCATCCTAAAACAGGATATCAGGAGCAATGCTCAGGGGACCAGCTGATTTTGCAGAAAAACTTTTAAACATCAATAATCAGCATCCATTGTAAGTGATTTAATTAGCTATTGAAATAGCTTAAAGCATTTTGACTTTTTAATATCACTTTAAGGTTTAGATAATTTACCATATACACAATTATTATTCATATATGTAATTATATCTTTCACATTTATTTTCTTCTCAGTTCAGATGTTTAGACTTCATAATCAACTGGTAATTTTAAATATAATCAGGCTTATATCCTTATCTGTTATCATAGGGGGTTAACTGTTGTAAAAAGCAGTTGTTAGGTATTTACTAAATGCTGATCTTTTTTGTTTGTGGCGTTTCACCCTAAAATAATGTTTCGTTCTTCTATCAGGTTTGAATGGTTTAAGGAACTGGACCTGAAATGGTATGGATTGCCAGCTGTATCCAGCTTACTGCTAGAGATTGGAGGATTGGAGTTCACTGCATGTCCTTTCAGTGGGTGGTACATGGGCACAGAAATTGGAGTCCGAGATTACTGTGACAATTCCCGCTATAACATACTGGAGGTACTGTGGCCTGGTAAAGAGCTCCACCTTTTGGCAGCAATAGAAAACTGATCACACTTCGTGAATATTTGTATATATCGAAGAGACATATTAATCAATAGGTAAAATCAGAGTTGTGCACAATTTTGCGCTAAGATTTACATTTTCATGGCTTCAAGGGTGAAAATTTTATTTTATATTCAGATGTTTCTCACTTTGCCTCCTATCGTTAAATACATCTCATGGCATTGACGTGTATTCCTAATAGATTGAACATTTCTCTGAAAAATGTTTCCTTATTGGAATGATAGAAGATAGCATTCTGGGTTTACAAAGTTTTTTTTTCTTATTTGCTATTTCTGATTAAAAAGAAACTTCCCTTAACCTGAAGTGGCAAGAGGTCATTTGTCCTCTTTACAAATTAACATGAGCTCCCCTTAAAGCAGTTGTATGTCACTATTAATTAAAAGCCAGTGGCTGTCTTTCCTTTCCCCACCAGAATCACTGTTAGCTTATTGCTTTAAAGGAGAACTATGGGGTTAAGGCTTTTCCCCATAGTTCTCCTTAGGGTAACGGGAGGACACAAACTAGCGTCCTCCCGTCACCCTAGGCTCAGTATACCGCGAGCTATAGCTCGCGGTATACTGAGACGCCACAGTATACCGCGAGCTACTGCTCGCTGTAAACTAAGACTCCGCAGCTGAAGCAGATCCCGACAATTATGTCTGGATCCGCCCAGCTGCGTGACTGACAGCTGGCTCTGCCTACCTAGAGGCAGAGCCAGCAGTACCCGCCCCCTCCGTTCCGCCAGTCAGCGCTGGCGGATCGGAGCGGGGAGGGGGGAATCCAGCCCCTCCCCTGTCACGGCAGAGAGCCGTGACAGGATCGAGAGGTGAGCGAACGCCGGTATGTGTTCGCTCACCTCCCGATCTACTGAGCCGACCTGTGACAGTCTCATTGTCACAGGTCGGCTAGAACTATGAGGTGAGTGAAAAGCACTCACCTCATAGTTCTCCTTTAAGTATATAGTTCAAGTATGCTTATAGCTATATAGCTTTCTGCAGCTTCCAAGAAGACTTACCTCACACTGTATTACACAATACAAATATTTTTTCCCATATGTGGTCATTTGTACTTCAAAAAAATGCAGTCACCCAATGTGTGCTAGTTTTAGAGACTGATAAATACTGTCAAATGACCCGCCACAGGACACTCATTTGAAAGGACCACTCAAATTAGCACCACCGCATACCTGCACAGCTCTCCAAAACTTACCATACACTATACAATGTGATCAAGAACGTAGTGGATGGGTTGGCCTGAGTTGGTACAAACTTTATGGATTATTTTAGTGTGTTCTCATATGACATAGTTTTGGTAACTGTATAGCACAGGTTTCACTGTTAGGCTCTGCTAGCCTTTCTCCCAAGAGCCCAAACTGGACCACAGAAGTGTAGTACAATACATAGGTCTACAGCCTGATCCATTTGCACACAACCTGCCTAAACTCCCATGTCTCACAAGTAGCTGATAGAACCAGGCCTGATGCAAGACTACAGTCTAGGCTTTTGAATGTATATACTACAAAGTACAAAATACAAGTTCTTTGTATAGTCTATATGGATTTATCATTTCAAAGGCATCAAACAGCACCTAATACTACTGTTCAACCTGTTTTAATATTTTAAAATTATCCAGGCACATTGTGTTGCTTATGCTATAGTTTATCATTCAGACAGATCACATTTAGTCCAATGTTTCCTGCAGGAAGTCGCCAAGAAAATGAACTTGGACACAAGAAAAATGTCTTCATTATGGAAGGACCAAGCATTGGTGGAAATTAATATTGCAGTTCTGTACAGTTTTCAGGTAATTTGTTGAAAATGGTTACAAATAATATGTTATAGTGGGTAATAGGTATCACACTGCCCAACAGTTACAATATTTAAAACTACATGCTTATAGAAAAAGATAGTTTTACACTTATATTCTAATCTTGTAGGTCTGCTTATATACAAATTAGATGATCTTGTTGTCTAAGTGTATGGTAGTGTATGTAGGTCTGCTTCTATACAAATTAGATGATCTTGTTAAATACAAAAAGATTGATATGGACATTTGCAGTTTTGATATCACTGGGAGTCACAGGACACCATACCCTGTCTGTGCCTACCTCCATCATTGACAGCTACACCATGCTGAGGAGGAGTGGCCACTGAAATTCAAACTATTTCGAACTATTTCAATTTGCGCAATGCATATTATTATTTATGTTATATGATTATCCCATTTAGTTTGTTTTTTTTTACATAAGGGGTTCTTGCTTTTTTAAATTACTTTTGGGTTGTGTTATATTACCAATCTATGTTTATATAATACTCAGTGGGTAGTTGATAATAGCAAGGATGTGGAAATTTCTGACCCCAATTAATTTGACTTCTGGAAATTGTGAGGAAAATTGTACCATTTGGTCATCTGCAGTGATGACTAAATCTTCCCAATGCAGATTCTGGGCATTGTGGAGTACAGAGCAGTAGAAACAGCTGTATAGTCACATATTTGCACTTCATATAATACATCTATTATATAGGTAAGCTCCAAAAATAGAGAACAGTCCATACACAGTATAAATATCAACAGTGGAAGTCTTAAATATACATTTTAACCTATTGTATAATTGGCCTAAGTATGGGCACTGTTAAGGTAAGAGATTGTCATGTAGCATGGAGAATTGGCTTAGTCTTTAAACATGTGTATGTAGGTATAGAGTCAACATAATCTCAGAGCACCAGAGGTAGTCTGGGAGGTTAGATATTTATGTATAGTCCACATTGTTCTCCATAGGTAAGAGACCTTTCATTTGCTTGTTGAATAAATAGATCTGCTTTATGACCATTCCTTATCAGTCAGATAAAATATAAATGTCTTACCAAAGTTCACATAACAATCACAAATACGTTAAGCTCATGATTTGTTTCATCTATTTTTCAGAGTGATAAAATAACGATTGTAGACCATCACTCAGCTACAGAGTCATTCATTAAACACATGGAGAATGAATACCGATGTCGTGGCGGCTGCCCAGCTGATTGGGTTTGGATTGTACCTCCAATGTCTGGAAGTATTACCCCTGTATTTCACCAGGAAATGCTCAACTATCGCCTCTCACCATCCTTTGAATATCAGGTACTTCCCTTTCTGTGTGAAAAAAAGATCCCACTGAGTCCTAATATTGTACTTTATATAGCAAGCTTTTTTAAAAAAACATTTAGCTCAATTCAAACTTAATTTTGCTGCTAACAGATTGACATTTTGCATGGTCCATATCCTTTTTATAATTCTGTTACCTATGGAAACTGAAATTTTTTAAATATTTGACAGATTTTGAATGGCTTTATGTTGCTTTAGGAACACCAGCCCTGAGAAAGGGGACACAGTTATTGCCCTAAAATGCACAGGCTATACACATCTATGAACAATCTATGATATGGTCAAAGTTTGTGCCCAGTGAGCCCAGTGAGCGGAAACGGTGGGAGATTTAAAAGTTAAAAACGAGAAAAATACAAAAAAATACAAAAAAAACTAAGATAATCAGACCGCCAGGGAGGTTAAATTAGAACATTCTAAAGGAAACCCTGAAATACTTTCCATTCCTACAGAAAATATTGCTGTTATGTCTCCCTAGGGCTTTCAACATGGTCAAATGACTAGGTGTTGGCCACCTGGTTTGAGCTTAAGAGGTTTAGGGAACACAAGTTCTGCCTGAATTCTCATTCTTTCACCTTGCAGAGATCACCTGACCAATACCTAGTCTAAAGGACTGCTTTTTCTCATCCCCCCATTCACCTCTGTTGCTAGATTTATCCATATCCCTCATATATTTGTGGGAAGACCAAGGAATGGGAATGAAGTAGCTGAGGGAACAAATTGTTTGCTTAGCAAATGTATTTTTTTTGTAAGGAAAATAATTTGAAAGCTAGCCAATCCTACTATATGTAGTAAACTTATACTATGCTGCATGCATAGAACGGTGCAGCCAAAATGGTTGTGGTCGGGAGGAAAGTAAAAACAGAAATTAAAGTGATACTAAACTCAGGAGCTAAATCTTAAAAATACATTCAAGTACATTAACTATTAAAAAGAATGTATCTTATTTGTGTATCACTCAGCAGTAGTTAGGGTACTTGAATGTATTTTTAAGGTTTAAATCCCGAGTTTAGTGTCACTTTAAGTCCAGTTGGCATAGGTGCTGATCCAACAGTGCTTTATGTTTCATACAGCTCTGATTAGTTATGTAGTATATGCTGATGTTACCCAATCTCTGTGCAAATTGTGATATATATCTCTTATGTATAGCCTGATCCCTGGAACACTCATATATGGAAAGGAGTGAATGGGACCCCAACTAAAAAGAGAGCAATTGGATTCAAGAAGCTGGCCAAGTGAGCATTGATTTCAGTAGCTATATAATACATACATTATAGTTACTTTTTATTATTAATGTATTATAATTCAAATTATCTACAGGGCAGTTAAATTTTCAGCAAAATTAATGGGACAAGCAATGGCCAAAAGAGTAAAAGCTACAATCCTCTATGCGACAGAGACAGGAAAGTCTGAAGTCTATGCAAAAACATTATGTGAAATCTTCAAGCATGCCTTTGATGCAAAGGTAAGACACTGTTTTAGAGCTTCAGTCTCCAGGGATGGTATAAACATCTGTGAAAAAAATCTAAACACTGTGAAAGAAGATTAAAGATGTACGGCATTATGCTAAAACACATTTATACATACAGAAATAATCCTGCATATAGAGTATCTGAATTAAAAACAAGAAAGGTCTTTGGATTACAGTAATGTTCTAAGCTTAATTTATCCTGTTGTTGCATAGAATCTTAAAACTGCTCTGTAGAAACATGTTTCACATTGTATTCTATGTTTTCAGTAGCAATCACAAATAATTGCTTTTTGGGCCAGGTCCACAGATTAAAGCAATTTATGAATATAAATGATAGAAGTTTGTGAATTATTTTTTGATAGGTTCACTAGTGATGGTGAGGGATACTTGCTCCTGCTTTTAAATCTGTTCCAGTCCTCTAAAACAATGATGCCTATCATTGGTATCTAAGACCATTTACATTGCTTAATTCCTACAGGCTTTTTTTTCTCTGTGAATATATTTGTATTCTCCAAGCGTGTTTACTATGATTTCACACAAAAAAAAATTGATGCTAGACTACAAAATCGTCCAGTGTTTTGCACATTCTGTTAGCATTCAGCCTTGATACTATTAATGCAGATAAGGTAAATCCATTTTAGCGGTAAGGTCAATGTACAGCACAAAGAATGATATACACCAGTAGCGGTCACTGTCTTAACTAACAAAGCCAAATGATCACAATGTCATAGCTTCCATATTGATCATATGATCAGCAACCATACTGATCGGCTACCAATCTTAAACAGAGACCAGGAGCTGTCAAAGTGGAACCGTCTGGCGAAACGGACGGGGGAGGGGGCGGGCACAGCTGGCTCTGCCTCTGGAAAAGCAGAGCAAGCTGTCAATCCTGCAGCTGCGTGGATCCAGACAGTATTGTCGGGATCCGTCCAGGCTGCGGCGTCTCAGTATACTGTGAGCTGTAGCTCGCGGTATACTGAGCTTTGGGTCACGGGAGAACGCTAGTTTGTGTTCTCCAGGGACCCTTAGGAGAACTATGGGGAAAAGCCCTGACCCCATAGTTCTCCTTTAATGTTCCCTCTGCGCAGGACATCATGCATAGAAACTTTAAACAGACTACGGACACTAAGCGCTAAAGGTTAGGGGTTAGTGTTGAGTGTTAAGAGTTCATTTTAAGTGTAAGATTAGAATGAAAGTAAGAGCTAAGGTGTAATTTAAGTTGTTAGGTGATAGGCAAGAGAGTTAAGTGCTAAAATCGCAAGGTTTAGGCTAAAATTATGGGTCAGGCCTGTGAGAGAGTAAACAAAAGGGAACAGAGCGCCACCTCCGTGTGCAAAATCGTTTATTAGGATAAATAAAACAAGGGATAAAAGTACTCACAAGCAAACATTTTCATCAGGCTTTAACAGCAAACAAGAGGCCACACTGTCTGTTAACCCAACATGGTATCACCCCCGACCCTGTAACACGGTAGCCTCCAGTCACATCACCATCCACCGGCCGCAGTCAGCCAAGATTGACGCGTTTCTGGGGCAAGCCCCCTTCATCAGAATCATCAGAATCTGTGAGAGAGTAATTTTCGAACATAGTGTATTTTAGTGCTGCAAACATTACCAGGAAGCTGCTGTTGAGCTGCACATGACTGGCTTGCAGTGCTGGCAGTCTTCTTCTGAGCCTAAAGAAACACTTTATGCAATTATGCTAGCAGAATTTAACAATGGTTGTTGAACTAATTCATAGTTAGGTTTAGAAGTGGGTTTTCTATACCCGGAGTTCTTCCTATATGAAAGGGAAGGTTTCCATAAAGTGATTTAGAATATGTAGGACTATTGCTGCTGGTTTCCATCTATACTGGTTAGAATGAGCGTATTTATTAGGTCTTTTTATGTCACAAGCATATATGTGTGTTTTCCCGTTTGGTCACCACTGCCTTAGAGCATGTGTGAAGCTTCTGAAGAATCTATTTTGCTTTCTTCAGTAATTAAAATGAATGTTTCTGGTTAGATATGGTCAAGTAAATGTTTTCCTTTATGGCTGGTGCGATTTATTGCACAAAACACCAATTTACATAAAAGTCAATGGAGGCTATTCGCACCTTTGCGTTTTGTCGTGTGGGCGAAATTGCATGTCACACAAAAAGGTTCAGGAGCTATTTTTGGGTTGTTGTTACGTGGTATGGGTCCCATTGGGTCTTCTCTATTCACTGAAAACCGTGCGACACTGGCGCTGTTTTCAAAGCAAAATCATACAAACAAAGCCATGCAGCAACCGCACGAAAACAGCTCACCAGCGCAATTGCCTAGGTGTAACCTAGCCTTACAGGTGGCCATGTGCACGTTGCACAGTACAGTACAGACAGCATTACATGATGCAAGCAATCAGACATATTGGCTATATAAAAGTAAATGGCAATATAAGTGTAGCCACTTTGCCCTAAGCAGGGTGATTGTTTAAATGTAATTCTGCTGGGCCATAGCTATTGTAAGTTGATTTAATGTTTCTGTGCTCATTTGGTTTCCCTTAAGCTCTCTGTTATTGTTTGTATCTGCCTGCTGCTTGGTGTGACTGCAATAGAGCAGAACATTTAATAATTGTAAGTTATGAATAGTTGAGTCTCCCTAGCCAATCACTAGGAGGTTCATAGCCATTGGTGCATGCTGAGGAAGGACATAAATATTCAGGGCTGACCTTGTGAGAATCTCTTCTTCCTCCCGGGCCCCTGTCTGGGGGAGAATGTGTGATGTGATGTGCAATCTGGCTAGGCTTGCAAGTGATCAGGAATGGAGACCCAGTTGGGGTCTGCAGCTGTCCTGACAGTGAAGGAGGAAGCTGTTCCTGGGATGCAGAACCAGGTAGGAACTTCATCTGCTGCAGGTGCCAGAGAAGCCAGGATTGTGGTTGGACTTTTGGGAAGTCGGGTGACTCACCCATGGAGTTTTGTGCTATGTCTGCTAACCAGCTAAATGACTGCCATACACAGTTTTACTGCAATCAGAGCATGTTCGGCCGACCCGAAGCCAGCCGTAGCAAGCCGATGTACGGCTGATTTCAGTCGGTGTATGGCTCAAATCAGCCGTATAAGCCTGAAGTGAATAGCCGAACAGCGTTCGGCTCACTTCACTTCGGGTCGGTTATTCACACGACTGCCTTCGGCAGCTTTGTGAATGACCCCCTTGATGTTCTGATTGCTTTAGTCATTTTAAGAAAAAAGGCTACTTTAAATAATATGACATACCTATAATTATCATACAACATTATTGGAATATAAAGGATTTCAAAGTACCTTTCCTAAATAAACACTTTTGAATGCAGGTGACGTCATTGGATGAATATGATATTGTACATCTAGAACATGAAACCCTGGTTTTAGTGGTTACCAGCACCTTTGGAAATGGAGACCCCCCAGAAAATGGAGAGGTAAGAATCATGTATAGGATAAGAAATGCAGGTGACTCTGCCATAGATGTTTTTGCTTGTAAATTAGTGTTGAATAATGTTACTTACATTTGAGATATTGTAAAATAATAGGTTGGCAAGAGTCAAGTTATCAAAAAGGTATAACAATCTCATTATAGTTTGTTTAACAATCAATTAAGTTTTCAGTTAAGATTATTTGACCTTGCAAATTACATTGAAACTGTAATAGTGTAGATTGAAATTGTTCATTGCATATTCCCCACCACTCCATGTTCTGCTTTGTGTTGTACATTGGATTGTGCACAACGCTCCACTCTATATGTGCTGTATATTTTATACTGCCCCCTCCCCACACTGTACACTGTACTATATATAATAAACGTCATACTGTTCTGTACACTGTACTTTACACAATAAACTCTGCACCCTTCCATTCTGCACACGGTACTATGCATAAAAAACTTCACACTGTTCTATTCTGTACAGTGTACTGTACACAATAAAATCTGCACCCTTCTATTCTGCACACTGTACTGTATATTATAAACGTCACACTGTTCTATTCTGTACACTGTTCTATTCTGCACACTGTACTGTACATTATAAACGTAACATTGTTTATTCTGTACACTGTGGTGTACATAAAATTCACACTGTTCTAGTCTGTACACTGTACTGTACATAATAAAAGTTCACACTGTTCCATTCTGTAGACTGTACTACACATAACAAACTTCACACTGTTCTATTCTGTACACTGTGCTGTTCATAATATAACTCACATTATTCCACTCTGTGCACTGTGCTGTACAACATATAACTTATGAAGCTTCACTCTATGCACTGTGGTGTACGGTATATATAGTCCACACTGCTCCACTTCATACACTATGCTGTACAGTATACAATATACTGCTCCACATTAAATATATCAAGCCTCTCCACTGGGTAAACTATGCTGTATACAATACCGCTCACTGCTCTACTCCTTATACTGTGGTGTACGTTTTTGGTGTATGTGCTGTACAATATAAAATCCATGCTGTTCCACTCAGTGTACTATGCTATATATCAGGGCTCAAAATTTCCACTCGCCTGCTCGAATTTGGCGAGTAAAAATAAAGTGAGGGTGAGTGGAAATTTGGGTCTCCAAGTACCGGTCCGCGGACCAACTCCGGCCCGCGAGCCAGTACTATGTGGCCCGCAGCCAGCTGGCATGTCAGGCACGCGATCGCTGACCGCGTACCTGACTTGCGGGAGCAGCTCCACGGTCTGCATCTGTGTTGAAAGAAAAGGATGTATTAGTGAGGTCTGCAGACCTCACTAATCTACCCCTAGATCACCAGGGATCGATCCTCCTCACAGCCTCCTCCCTGCAAAAGATGTGAACAGGTGAGGGGGCTAATAACAGGAAAAGTACCGGCGCCCCCACCTGTGAAACGGCCAATTGCAACGGAACGAAAACACTGAAGAGGCAGCTCCCTCAGGTCAAGCAGACCACCAATAATAAGGCGAGTAACTCTTAAGGCCTGGCTAGTAGCTCAGGACTTGAAATTTTGAGCCCCGCTATATACTATAAATTTTACACTACCTCACTCTGTACATTCTGCTATACAGTATGATGCTCCACAGTTTATACCCCACACAGCTCCACTCTGTACGTTATGTACTGTACATCACTTTACTGAGTGTACTACGCTACACACTTTACTGCAGACCGCTCTATACTATACACTGTGGTGTACATTACTTAAAGGGGTTCTAAACCCTCCCGTTGTTTAGCCTATATCTACTGCTATCAAGCAAAAACGCTAAAACAGCGGTTTAAACTTACCTTTTTTTCTTTGCGCGCTCCCGCACCGAGAATAATGAACTGCTCGTACGGCCGCCAAAGGATCTTGGGTCGGGCGCATGCGCAGTTCCGATTGTCGGCCGGGAGACGAGCAGAGGCGCAAGGTAAGTCTATGGACGCGTGCACCCGCATGCAGACGCCGCTGGATCGGAGGGACAGAGCAGTCAGCGCTGGATCGGAGAGCCGCCGCACCGCTGGAGGGACACATGAAAGCATCCGGAAAGAAGAAGAAGATCGGAATAAAAGACATCATTTAAGGTAAGTGCTAACATTAACATGGGGGGGAGGGGGGGGAAATGACTTTAATGTCACTTTAATGCACATCACTCCACTCTGTATTGTGCACGCTGTACTCTACACAACTCTTTAAGTAGGTTATACTCATCACTCTCACCAGACAGCAGATTGCTTTCATTGTCACACACTCTTTTGTGCTCAAATGGTCACACCTTTGCTAATATACATAATAATATTTTCTTATATTACAGCGTTATGAATGTGCATTACCACTAATACATGTATTCTGATTCTTCTATGTTCCTTGCAGAAGTTCGGATGTGCTCTCATGGATATGAGGCATCCTAATTCTAATTTGGAGGAGAGAGCGTGAGTTTACCGTTGGGAGTTTTTATTGCTAGAGCTAGCTCCCTAAAGCTTAGTGTGGATAAATGTGCATTGACCTTCTGTCTCCATAAACTTTATTGCATGGAATCACCCTGTGGCTGGAAAGGGATTGAAAGGGAGGACAAGGTGGATGCAAGAGATGGGGCAGTAGATTGGAATATGACCAGCAAACAGCATTTTCCCGAAACTCTACAAAAAACCTAATGAAGTTTTTGGATGTTAGAATTATGTTATAGGATAGTCACTTGTCTGTGTGTAAGGAAAGTCTTCCTGTAACTGGGAAGGAAACATTGGATACATCCATTATTTGAATATATATAATCTTTAGCATTTTGTATGGACACACTTATTAGAACCATTACATTTCTGTGCTTCCACAAAAAAAATTGCATCCACATAAAATCTAGTTTATCCTTTCTGTAATTATTTGTGTATATATAGTATGCATAATTTAATCTGTACTGACACTCAGGATAGTCACCCTTTGGCTGCCATAGCATAACCTGTCAAAGCTTGATGGTACTTTAATATGACAGTTTCCTGATGTATGTCTGAGAAATCACAGTAATTATATTTCATAAATAATTAAACTTAATTAATCTAGATATGACTGGGCATGATGCAAGAAAAATAATGTTTCTAATTGGGAAAGTAAATATTTGTTACAGCTGAATGCCTAAAAAGGTTGGTATAGGCATTACTGAAACATTATATGTTGTGTTCATCTTTAGGAGTTACAAAGTCCGGTTTAACAGTGTTTCTTCTATTGCTGATGCCCGGAAGTCATCAGGTGATGAGACTAGACCCACTGGTGACAATTTTGGAAGTGCGGGCCCTTTAGCTAATGTTCGGTAAGAGTTTGACATGTCACCAAAGAATGCAGCAAGACCTTACATTTTACCTAAAAATGTTGCTTAGTGCAAAACTGTAGTTTAAAACCGAATTGCAGGCAAATTGCTAACTACACAGTTGAACTGCATGTATGGCTGGTTAACCTGCAATAGGATTTGTATTTCTGTCCATCCAGTTCTGAGATGTACACAGTCCTGTCAGCCAGGACAGTTTCGCTACTGAACTTGGTCACCTCCTTGTCAGGAGGAACCTTCCAGCCTATGATTGGACAGGCAGGGAACAACAGCAGACAGATTAGTCAACTCTCTCCACCTGTCAGCATGTAGCTTGTTAGCCTATGCGCACCCCTGATTGGCTCCTACTACAGTTCTTCCCTCTCCTAGTCTGAGTGCTATGGTATCAACTGACACCGAGTCACATTCAGGAACTTACACTAGTTGCAATTCAGAATACTTTTATTTATTTTTAATGAATACATAACTGCACTCACTGTATGTATTATCTGCCTGGAGTTTAGGTTGCTGTAACTAAAGTATTAATGAACCAAAGTACATTGATTTACTTTTTTGTGAACATGTGCTTGGGTTCAGCCATTTGTCTAATAGACAGAGACGGACAGGCTGCTCCATGGGGCATGGTTCCTTAACCAAATTTGGGACAAAGAAAGTCTTGTGACAAAATTGTCTCCAGACACAGAGGCCTAATGATGGACTGTTGCTTTCAGTCAGCTTACAGCCACTACCTTTTCTTGGTTTTATGGGACCAAACAAAACAAAAATGGAGTGGAAATCAACTGCAAATGCCTTCTTGAGTAGTTCTGATGAAGATTCCACCCATTTTTCTCTAGGAAATAGGAAATTATTGTGGTTGATAGCTGACTGGAGGTTATCAAATTGCTTAGTGTATGACAAGCATTACATACCCTTGGTCATGAAAGTATTAGCACCTGTTAGGTTCCCTAATTATTAAATAGGAAGTGTGGAGAGAGTACAACATAGTCTGCCCGCTGCTTAGAGATGGCGTGGGCTACTACAGCAGTTGTCAAGGGTCGGCTCTATACCAAGATCTGAGCGATCATGTGATCACTGATCGCTCAGATCACAGTCTCCTCCCCCAGCGGAGAGTGGTGACTGTCAGTCACTACCCTCCTTCCCACCCCCCACTACCCTGCAAGTATTCCCCTCTCTGCTTCGTCAGTGCTGGCTGGAGATACAGACTGGGGTGGAGGTAAGTGCAGCTGGCTCTGGCTGTCAGCTAAGGGCACAAAAGTAAAACCAGCTGTCAATCAGGAAGCTGCGGTGGATGCTGACAATATTGTCAGGATCCTTTCCAATAGCAGCATGGCTCTGTGCTGTCAGCAAATAGGGGCAGTAAGCTACTGACTTTGGGTCACAGGAGTCTATTAGTAAATGTACTCCTGTGACCAAAATAAGAAATGCTAAAAAAAAGGTGTCTTTAAAGGAGAATTATGACCTAAGGGCAAATAAAAATACCCATTACCTTGATTGTAGTACCATTCTTCCTTTTTTCTAAAGTCACTGGGTATCCCTGCAGACTGGCAAGCATCTGATCAGCAGGGATCCCCAGTGACATAATTCATGATATATGGACTTGCCCATATGTGGTAAATGATGAAGAGAGAGAGAGGGCTCCTTCCCCTATCTCTCTCTCCCTGCCCTGTGTGACGCTGACATCAATCAAATCACTGGGCGTCGCTGATGAGAGAGGGTAAAGAGTGCTCTCTCTTCAGCATTTACCACATATGGGCAAGTCCATATATGGTGAATTATGTCACTGGGAATCCCTGAAGACTGGTAAGCATCTGATCAGCAGGGATCCCCAGTGACATCATTCACCATATATGGACTTGCTCATATGTGGCAAATGATGAAGAGCGAGGGCTCCTTCCCCTCTCTCTCTCTCTCTCTCTCTCTCTCTCTCCCTGCCCTGTGTCACGCTGACATCCTAGAATCACTGGGGATCGCTGAAGAGAGAGGGGAAAGAGGGCTTTCTCTTCAGCATTTACCCCATATGGTAAAGTCCATATATGGTGAATGATGTCACTGGGGATCCCTGCAGACTGGTAAGCATCCGATCAGCAGGGATCCCCAGTGACATAATTCACCATATATGGACTTGCCCATATGTGATAAATGACAAAGAGAGAGAAAGGGCACCTTCCCCCCTCTCTCTCTCTCTCTCTCTCTAACTCTCTCTCTCCCTGCCCTGTGTGACACTGACATACTAAAATCACTGGGGATCGCTGATGAGAGGGGAAAGAGGGGTCTCTCTTCAGCATTTACCACAAATGGGCAAGTCCATATATGGTGAATGATGTCACTGGGGATCCCTGCAGACTGGCAAGCATCCGATCAGCAGGGATCTCCAGTGACATCATTCACCATATATGGACTTGCCCATCTGTGATAAATTATGAAGAGAGAGCTTCTGACCCGGGACAAGATCTTCTCAATGCACTGCACACTACACGTAAAGTAGGCGGGGCAGATGGAGAGGAGGAGGGAGGGGATCAAGGGCTACACAGCAGCGTGTCTGGAAGGCTGGCACAGAGGACAGGGACGTGCAGGTAAGGAGACAGCTGCATGCACACAGCTGCTGCGCTTGTCCATATATTCGTGGACACGCAGCAGCTCTCAAGAATCACTGTCAGTAACAGTGACGAAGATCAGTGGGGAGGATCTCGACAGTATTGACGGGATCCCTCCTCATTGCGGTGCTTAGCCCCGCCCACCATCTTAAAGAAGGGTTTACAGGCTTAGGGTGCATTTTGGCTAATAGGAGTAAATTACACAATTTACTTATTTAGCCGAAGGAATGCAATAATAAAGAAAAGATAGAACCCCATAGTCCTCCTTTAAGTTAGGTAAAACTTATTTCCACTAGAACTGACTATACTGTATGTTCTTCTGAAATTATATTATATGCATCTTTTCTTGAGTTATCCTTCATGTTATTGCAGTGAAGCACATGCTCATTGCTGTTATAATTTAAAATGCATGCAGTTGCTGTCAGCAGTTGGACTCAAGCTAATGGTGGCAACATCTTGCCTAGCATCACCATGAACTGGTATTGGAATGCAGCCTTTGGCCATGCATTACAACATAACATTACAGGAGGCAGACGCAGTGGGGAGAGTATGGGATAGCCAGTGACGCCCAAACGAATTTGCAGAACAAAGTGCCTGGGATTTGGGACTCCCACGTGTTGAAATAGACATGTTAGAGCATTTGAAAAGCTGAGAGGTGTTAAGCAGAGAAGCAATGTAAATGAACAGGGTTTATACATAGGTATATGTGTGAATACATTTCTGTTTTACCGATATTCACTGAATTTAAATTTTTTTCATCTTACCTAATTCTAACTGTTTTATACTGTAGATTCTCAGTCTTTGGACTTGGATCTAGAGCTTATCCTCACTTCTGTGCCTTTGCCCGGGCTGCAGATACTTTGCTGGAGGAGATGGGAGGAGAGAGAATTCTGAAAATGGGGGAGGGCGATGAACTGTGTGGACAAGAGGAATCTTTTAGAACTTGGGCCAAAAAAGTGTTTAAGGTAGAGATATATTTTGAATTATTTTCACTCCTAGCTGCATTCTTTGTGCCAGTACTTGCACATTTAATTTTTAACTACATTTCATAATAAGATTTTTTTGTAGAACTAAATAAATCACTGCAGTTTAAAGTGCACCTGTCACAAGCAAGCCCACATTAAAAGAGAGCGGCGCTCTCAGTATATAGCCGGCAATAGCCGGCTATATACTGAGCTTTGGGTCACGGGAGGAGGTTAATATATGTCCTCCCGTGACCCTAAAGAGACCTATGGGATAAAATGGTTACCCCATAGTTCTCTTTTAAACATATCTGACCAGACTGTATACAATCAAGCATGTGCAATGCTGCACGTTACAACTTTTTTAGTCACTGCATTAAATGTTCATAAAGTTGCCACCACCTAAACAGATTCATATTACAGTGACACTAAACTTTGGAGCTAAATCTTAAAAATGTATTCAAGTACCTTAACTATTAACAAAAATGTATCTTATTTGTGTATCACTCGACTGTAGATGCTCAAATCATTTTTTAATTCATGCTGACACTGTGCTTCCTTCCCGAGGGTGGCTACTTCTGTTAATAGTTAGGGTACCTGAATGCATTTTTAAGGTTTAACTCCTGAGTTTAGTGTCACTAATAAAATGAAAGTGTGGACAGTCCACTTTACCAGAAAAGATAAAGTTATCTCTAGTTCTCTTAATATTGCATGAAAATGCAGATATTTTCAGCTTGCATCAACAGATCCAGATCTCAGTAGTTATACAAAGCAATGTGTGAAAAATATCTGAAAAGGGGATCCTTCCAGAGACCCCACAGAGGCCTGCTACCCTGGGGAGATCCCCTCAGAGCCCTGGTGAGACCCCTGAGAACCCTGGTGAAACTCTACTGAGAACTGGTTTAACCAAAGCTCTGTAGGGTCTTACCAGGGCTCTGAGGGGTCTAACCAGGCTGGTGAGACCCCACACAGCCATGGTGAGACCCCACAGAGCCCTGCTACCCTGGTGAGACCCCACAGAGCCCTGGTTTAACCAGGGCTCTGTGGGGTCTCACCAGGGCCCTGAGTGGTCTATCCAGGCTGGAGACACCGCACATAGCCATGGTGAGACCCCACAGAGCACTGGTGCTGGTGAGACCCCATCTTGCCCTGGTGAGACCCCACATAGCCCAAGCAAGACCCTACATAGCCCAGGTGAGACCCTACATAGCTCAGGCGAGACCCTACAGAGCCCTGGTGAGACCCTGTGCAGCCCTGGTTTAATCAGGGCTCTGTGGGGTCTCACCAGGCTGGTGAGACCCCACAGAGCCATGGTGCTGGTGAGACCCTACAGAGCCCAGGTGAGGCCCTAAAGGTTTAACCAGGGCTCTGTGGGGTCTAACCAGGGCACTTTGGTGTCTCACCAGAGCTCTGTGGGGTCCCCCCGGGGCTCTGTGGGTCTAACAAGGCTGTTTAGACCCCACAGAGCCCCGGTGAGACCCCATAGAGCCCTGGTGAGACCCCAAAGAGCCCTGGTGAGACCCCAGAGAGCTTTACAGAGCCCTGGTATTGGTGAGACCCTACAGAGCCCTGGTGAGACCTTGCAAAGCCCTGGTTTTACCAGTGCTTCTTGAGGTCTCACTAGGGCTCTTTGGGGTCTCACCAGGGCTCTGAGGGGTCTGACCAGGCTGGTGAGACCCTACAGAGCCCTGGTGCTGGTGAGACCCTACAGAGGCCTGGTTTAACCAGGCCTCTGTGGGCTCTCACTAGGATATTTTGGGGTCTCATCAGGGCTCTGTGGGGTCTCATCAGCCCGGGTTAAGCCCCACAGAGCCCTGTTGGGACCCTACAAAGCCCTGTTGAGACCCTGTAGAGCCCTGGTTTAACCAGGGCTCTTTGGGATTTCACCAGGGCTCTTTGGGATCTCACCAGGGTTCTGTGAGGTCTAACCAAGGTGGTTAGACCCTACAGAGCTCTGGCGAGACCCTACAGAGCCATGGTAATACCCTACAGAGCCCTGGTTTATTCAGGGCTCTGTGGAGTCTCACCAGGACACTTTGGGTGGTTTAACCAGGGCGTTAAACCCCACAGAGCCCTGGTGAGACCCCACAGAGCCCTGGTGAGACCCCACAGGCCTGAGTGGGGCCTCATGTTTAGGTTTCGCCTTAGGCCTCGCAAACTCTAGAGCCGCCTCTGCATATACTAGCGGATCGGAGCAGGGAGGGGTGAAATCCCTGCAGGGACCCGTGACTGACAGTCACGGCTCTCTGCAGTGAGATGATCGAGAAGTGAGCGACGGTATGTGTTCGCTCACTTCCCCATCTATTGAGCCGACGTGTGACAGTTTCATTGTTACACGTTGGCTCGAACTATGAGGATGAGCGATTCTCCCTCACCTCACAGTTCTCCTTTAAGTTCAAATTCTAATCTGAAATAAAGACCACAGTAAACACATTTAAACAAATGCATACCTTTTTATAAGAAGGCAAGATATTCAGGTAAAAGCAACAGGTTCACATAATGCCCCACTTTCTCAGAAGTACATACCCACCTCCTCTTCACTCCCCCTCAACACAACTTGGCTATCAGGAAGAAAGGGAAATATCTGCTACTTTCAGTTACAGGCTGCAATTCAATGTACTTTACATTACAACAATACATTCATGTGAATAGGCCAAAGGTCCTATTATCAGTACATGTTTTCCACATTTGCACAAGTGGAGTACTTAGCATCTCAGCAATTTATTTGTGCCAGCAGTTTGGCTATCCACTCAACATAAAGACTAGTCTGTTCAGTTGCAAGACTATTTTCTGTTGGCTTAGTGAATGTGGTGAAAATTAACTAAAAATAATCAAGGAAAAAAAAATCACTTGCAAAGTTTACCAATTGATTTACCTTTAGTAAATCAACCACAAACTATTTATGAGACTTAGAAAATAGTGCCCTGGTAGGTGGGTGGATATCTGCATTCAGTTATACTGCATGAAGTAGGTAGTTAGTGTTCTAAATACAACTAACAGACATAAAATATAAAAGAAAAGAAAACATCTATTCACAAAGAATACAAGGTCCTATACCTGTGCTTATCTGGAGTTTTGCTTTAATGGTAACCTTTTTAATATTGCATGGTAGGTCCCCTTTAAGCATGTATAAAAAAAATAGTTGTTTTTTTTTTGCTGTCACTAAATTGGTTATCAATTGAAAGAACAATTTGTCATCATGTTTTAATAATACACAGGCCACTTATTTCTATATCGTAAATGTAATTTGTTTGGAGGCATCTACACATTAAATTATGATCATCTGAGTTGACATCCAGAGAGGATGATTTTCCTTTTCATGTGCAGAAATCTGACCATGACACTAAGCAGACATCACAACTTCCTAGAAACCCGGAGATAGCTGGGAGCCATTTTTTGACTGAGATATAAATCAGTGTCAAGATTTGCTGTCTATGTTTACTTTTCGTATTGAAAGTGTAAAAGGTGAATACTGGGACTTAACTGTGCAGATGTAAGTGTACTCTTTCCATATTTATACAGAGCATACATGAAAGCTGACAATTCAGATTAAACCTGCGCCTGAGCAGGCAAAGCATATAAGTGAACATTTAACTGAAGTGGATAGAAGTGGACTGTGGAGCCAAGTGCAGGAATCAGAGAGTTTATTAGAAGCATAGGCACAAGAATCAAGGAACCTTAAAGTGACATTAAACCCTCAGATTTTTTAACATAAAACAATAGTGTAATGTGTGCCTTACTGTAATCCATGGATGTTTTCCTTCTCTTTGCTGCTCTTCCTTTTAAATCTGTATCTGTTCCCATGCTGGGCAGAACTTCTGTTTTGCAGCAGACTGCCTTGTCTCTGGAAGGGATACATGGTGTCTGTGTGTAGGTTTGTAACCTGAGCCAGCACTACAGGAAGAGGCCCTTAGCTGCAAAGGGAAGTTCTACCCAAGCATGAGAAGACATGAGGATTTAAAAGGAAGAGCAGCAAAGAAAAGGGAAACAACCATGGATTACAGTAAGGCACACATTACAGTATTGGTTTATGTTAAAAAATCTGAGGGTTTAATGTCACTTTAAGGCCTTATCACACCTTATTGAGAAAGGTGTCAAAGCGTTATGTGATCTTTGTGCGTATACTTCTAATAAACCCTCCAATTGCCACAAGTGTCTTCTCGGAGCATCTGTCTTCTTCACTTTAAGTTGGTTCCCTGGCAAAGAAGAGGTTATGTGACACTTAGGCAGGTGGATCAAGGCCACTGATGACTTCTCATTCTGAAAATGCGATTTGCCTGATTGTAACGCTGATCTATTGGCTTCAGCCATGAACTATTAGGCAGATCAAGACTGCAAACCTTTCCCACAGTTTCAGAAAATACAGAATCTAGAAACAGCCAGACAACAAGCATTTTCAGGAGGTCACCAATGGCAGCCTACATATTTATCTCTGTTTATGTTTCCTTTAATGCATTGGAGAGGATGTGGAGAACTGTGAGATGATATATCTTTTTTAAATGTATGTGTGGCATAATAAACTCAATTCAATTCACTAGATAACTGGCATAACAAAGAGTTTGTTTTTCCCCAACAGGCTGCATGCGATGTATTTTGTGTAGGGGATGATGTTAATATTGAGAAGGCAAACAATTCCCTTATTAGTAATGACCGCAGCTGGAAGAGGAGCAAGTACCGCATCAGCTTTGTGGCTGAGGCTCCTGAACTCACACAAGGTACAACATTGTCATATTAGCCCGTATATGCACATACTCCTCACAAGCAGATATATTGCAGCCAGAAGAAGTTATCATTAATATCCTGATCTTTCTAAAACTGTACTGTTTCTCTTTTGACAGCTCTTTACAGTGTTCACAGAAAGAAAGTGTATGGAGCCCGGCTGTTATGTCGACAGAACCTTCAAAGTGCAAAATCGGGGTACAGTGTTTTTGGAAACCTTACATATACAGCTCTTTTCTTTCCTGCCATTTAGATAACTTTTTTTGTACATGACCAATAATGAGTTCAACAGAATTGTCTGCACATAAACACAAATTTGGGCTGGTCTGCTGTACATCTTGAGGCCACTCTGTACATGGAGATAATGCAAATTCTAGAAAGTGTGCTGATATCAATATGCACAGAGCATCAACAATATTGATGTTGACGTTTCAGAATGTGGAGCCTTCAGTGAGCAATACTGAGCATAGGGCTACAGAAAGATGGTCACTAGCTCAGGAACTTGTGATTGTCCTAAGAACACTAAGAAAAATGTACAGTTTAGAAGCACTTCTAATATTGTAAGTGGGTATGCTGCTTCTAAGCAAAGAGTACAGTAGTTCAGAAAAATGAGGATGCAAAAGAGGTATTATACTTACCTCCATGGAAGCCTCTGTCTTCTATCTTTCTACTATTCTAGTTCTGCAGCCTCTGTTAGTCTGTGCGACATGTATGGAATTCTTGGATGCCTGCATCCCCTACAGTGTGCCATGGTTCCATCCTCGTACCCATTCATCACTACAGCACACATCAGTGATGTAGGGGGTCAGAGAATGGAGCCACAGTGTGCTGTCGGAGCCTCCCGGTAGTGTCAAAACCTGAAGAGATTGATGGAAGCTGGAACGGACTGAAGGCTAGTGACACAGGCTGCTGGAGAGGTGAGTATAATATCTCTTCTATTGCAGGAGATTTTTAGCTCCTTTTTTAAGTAACTGACGGGGTTGCTTTAACAGTTCCATTTGGATTCTTTCGAAATCCTTAAAATGAATCTAAACCCAAAATGTGGGACAGGGAGTAAAGGTAATCTACCCAGTGGGACACAAATGGCAAAACACTGATGGGTTTTAACCCTTCCCTGCTGTGTCTAAAACTAAAACACATTGTGGGTTTAAATATACTTTAATAATGTTTGTTTCAAACTTTCCTTTTTAAAACTGAATGATTGGGAGTATGAGTAGATGTTTATTTGGTATAATAAATGTGTACAAGGAATCCAGCCTGCGCTTTTAACTTCCTTAATCTGAATGCCTAAAAGGATAATGTATTTTTTGTAACAGCCGATTCACTATTTTCCTTCGGCTTCACACCAATGGACACCAAGAGCTGAGTTACAAACCAGGAGACCACTTAGGGGTTTTTGCCGGCAACCATGATGACCTTGTCAATGCCTTGATTGAAAGACTGGAAGATGCTCCACCTGTCAACCAGCTGGTTAGAGTGGAGATTTTGGAGGAAAGAAATACTGCTTTAGGTAATTTATGTTCAATTTGAATGTATACATTTACTTCATAACAGTATTTGATTCATGTATTCTTTGTTCATACTTGAATCTGCATTTGTCTTCAGGGTAGTGTTTAGAATCACTTACACACGTGTTGCAATGTTCTTGTTGGCATTTTCCGCGTTTTTGAATCAAAATGAAGCATGTTTACCCATGTATATTATTCTTCATTTTACATTGTGACCAATGGTTATAGTATGGTAATTTAACCCCGGGTGCTTTGAGCTATGTATCAGAGAATGGCAGCTTTTACCTCATTATGTATTTATTTATTACAGGTATTTATATAGTACCGTCAGTTTACACAGCCCCTCACATATTATTAATTCACATCAGTCCCTGCCCTCAAGGAGCTTACACTCTAAAGTCCTTACCTCATTTGCATACAAGCTAGGGCCAATTGAACAGGAGTCAGTTAACCTAACATCATGGGGTTGATTTACTAACCTTATAAACACACCACAAACATGTATACACCTCTGTAGTGTGTTCCCTCCCAGCATGATCTATGGGTGGAATCTAAACACCTTTGTAGTGTGTACACACCCAGCAGGTGTGTTGTGCAAAGCCAAGCATGAATTTGCAAGGTGATGTTGTGTGAATTAGCTCTATGTTGTGTTGCTTGCTTTGATGAATGCAGGAATGTAAATGCATGAGCTAACCATTTTTGTCTAAACTGTGAAGCAGCATTATATATGCATCATGGTCATGATTTTTCCATATATGGCATTAGTGGAAATATGCTTTTAGAGACTTTTTGGTTGATAAATACGTTTTGCTGTGTGAAAATCACACGCACCTAGTGCGTGCGTGTGTTTAGGTTAGTAAATCACACCCCATGTCTCATCCAAACCTAAACATGTGATTTGATTTTTTTTAACTCTGGATTAAAAAGTCAACAAATTACTAACAGAAAAAATCACTGCATAGTTTCACAAACATGACCACTAAAAACAACAACAATTATTAATTTTCGCTTTACTTTGTTCAATTTGCTTTCTTTCAATAGAATTACAAAAAGCAGCACAGCCTATAAAATACAATATATACCTTTGACATTTAGGGTTTAAACTGCTGCATATTGCATTGTAGTAATGTTTAGCTGCATAAACATGTGGTTACTGCACAAAAGCTCTGCACCAAAAACTAAAAGGAGGGGGCTGCCGACAATGAAAACTAGCCTGCAAATATATCCAAATTCTAAAGCTGTGTGATATGATGATACAGGCGTAATCAGTAACTGGACTGAAGAAGAGAGAATCCCACCATGTACCATCTTCCAGGCCCTCAAGTATTTCTTGGATATCACAACTCCACCCACACCACTTCTGGTGCAACAAATTGCATGTCTGGCCACTAATGAAAAAGAGAAAAATCGTCTGGAGATTTTAAGCAAGGTATTGTCGTGATTCATTTTTAGAAATAGCATTCTTGATGACATCTGCCATATAAATAAAATGTAGAAATAAAAAATGATGTTAACATATAATTTGAAGCCAAACAAATGTAAATGTTTAATCAAAAAGGATCACTATCTATCTATCTATCTATCTATCTATCTATCTATCTATCTATCTATCTATCTATCTATCTATCTATCTATCGCTCTATATTGAGAGTCCAATAATGCTGATCTTGCTACTCAGGGCTTACAAGAATACGAGCAGTGGAAGTGGTACAAGAACCCTACTCTTGTTGAGGTGCTAGAGGAGTTTCCCTCGGTTCAGATGCCATCATCTCTGCTGCTTACACAGCTACCCCTGCTACAACCTCGTTACTACTCCATCAGCTCCTCTCCTGATATGCATCCTGATGAGGTTCACCTCACTGTTGCAGTTGTGTCCTATCGTACAAGAGGTAATCTTTGAAAACTTGTAAAATTACTTTTTTTTATAGAATAACATATCTAATGGCTGGCATTGCTAGTGAAAATCAACCCACAACATGAGGTGGTGGTCAGATGTATAGACAATATCCAAACACTGAATAATCTTTTTGGGATTAACATGTGTATCTATATGCATGCTCATACATCAGCAATGCTATTCATATCTCGGTGAAACAATGAGTGGCTGTGATAATCCACCAATGTAGATTTGTATAAAATATGTATATTACATGTATTATTTTAGAAAATCAACAACTGTGTTCGTGCTGTACTAGTTTGTTTGTCAAGCCCATTCAGTTCACTGGAAGGGTTCATGGACTTTATATGCCATTTTGTGATAAAATTAGGGCCTTGTCAGATTAGTGATCCTGTGGCTGATGGTAACACACCAGCAATATCCTTAAAGGAGAACTATGAGATGAGTGATTTCCACTCACCTCATAGTTCTAGCCGACCTGTGACAATGAGACTGTCACAGGTCGGCTCAGTAGATCGGGAGGTGAGCGAACACATACCAGGTTCGCTAACCTCTCGATCCTGTCACCGCTCTCTGCAGTGACAGGCGGAGGGGCTGGATTCCCCTCTCCCCGCTCCGATCTGCCAGCGCTGACTGGCGGAACGGACGGGGAGGGGGCGGGTACAGCTGGCTCTGCCTCTAGATAGGCAGAGCCAGCTGTCACTCACGCAGCTGGGCGGATCCCATCATCTACGTCGGGATCTGCTCTGGCTGCGGCGTCTCAGTATTCCTCGAGCTGTAGCTCGCGGTATACTGAGCTTAGGGTAACGGGAGGACGCTAGTTTGTGTCCTCCCGTTACCCTAAGGAGAACTATGGGGAAAAACACTGACCCCATAGTTCTCTTTTAAAGAGAGCAATCACCTAGGTCGTTGCTCCCTTGCTTTCTGAAATGCTGCAGAATCTCATCCACCGTTGAGGGAGCAACAATGGAATGACACCTTGCAGTGAGGAAGCAGCTCTGTAGAAGCAGGCAAGTGCTTTCTTTGCTCTCTGTTATCGCCAGTATGACATGGTCCTTACAGAGCATCGTAGCCTTGTCAATTTACCTGTATAAATATACTGCAAGTTGACACTATTGTTGTGCATTTAATAATTTATCATTTTACAGATGGCGATGGCCCTATACATCATGGTGTTTGCTCCTCTTGGCTAAACAGAATACAACCTGACGAAGTGGTTCCATGCTTTGTAAGAGGGTAAGGTATAGTATAGCTGGACTTGTTAACTAACAAAAAAAAGTTATTGTTTAAAATCTCCTATATAGAGTTTATTGCTATAAAGGGATGGTATAAAAAGGGATTATTGGAATTTTTTAGCATTGTTCAAAAACACCTTTACATACAGTCATTTCATAACACAGATGCATAAATAGAATAGATCACTCAATTGCAGGTATTCCAAAATAAAGAAATATAGTAAACTGCCTCGCTATTATTTGTCTGTTTAGAGCTCAAAGTTTCCATATGCCACAAGAAACCAATGTGCCATGCATCCTTATTGGTCCAGGGACAGGCATAGCCCCTTTTAGGAGCTTCTGGCAACAACGTCTCTTTGATATGCAGCATAAAGGTGAGTTCTTGAAACTTTTTAAAATCAAAAAACACCACTTTGCAATATACAGTGTGTGTATATACT